CAACCTAAAAAGAATCCCCTGACCAAAGAAGACCAAAGACCACCCACACCGGGGGCGGCGGGGGCCCTGCGATTCTAGGAAGGGAGGTCCGCTGGTCCCCAAATCAGGGCCCGAATCCGCCGGGGTTTAACCTCCCCCGGCCCCTTTTTAAAGCTCCTCGGGAGTCCCGCCTTTAGCTCTCGAGTCGCCCCTGGGAGGGTGGGGAAGAGGCCGGGGTGCAACCTGAGGAAGGTGGGTGGCGACGGCGAGAGCGTGCGGGCCAGGCTCACGCACTCAGCGTCCGCCCTCCCAGCCCTGCAGCCCTCCCGCGAGCCCTTCTCTCGCGAATCCCCGCACTGGCGGGGGGCTGCGCGCAATCCCTCCCCCACATTAACAGGCTCATTTTGGCCTCCCATCCCCACCCCTTTCCACACGCCCCTCCGCCGGCGTTCCCTGGGAGGTTACTTTTGGCCACCCGGGGTTCCACACCCTGGGACGCAGACCATTGGGTTCGGGAGAGAACGGCTGGGGGTAGATGGTGAAGAAGGAAGGGGTCCCTACCCGTCAGAGAGAGCTGAGGGACTGTGAAGAGCTTGTGAAGGTTGAGGATGGATTCCACTTCCAAGATGGAGATCTGTTTTGATCGATTGAAACTATAGGTAATATGCTTTAGGCTAAGGTGAAAAGAAGTCGAAGTCTTCAATTTAAAAAAAACACCTTCTATTGAATTTATTGGCGTGACATTGGTGTTAGGTGTACAATTCTATAGTACATCATCTGTATATTGTATTGTGTACTCTACTGAAAGTACATTTTGACAAAGGAGACTCGGCTGTCCAGCTAGATTAGCAAGTAGAACGATAGAAGGCCAAGTATCTCTCTTAGATTTTAAAATCAAACATTACCTAAAAATTATTCAGTGGAAAGACGATATTTCAATTCATGGTGAAAGGAAATGCTGTGTGTGTGTGTGTGAGTGTGGTATTTTTTTTTCTCCCAATGCACTATTTAAAGGATTCTACTAGACTATTTAAATACATTATTTCTAGAAGCAGTGCTTGGAGAACAAGGCAAATTAAGTATGAATGAAAATAAGAAAAATGTGAGGGACAGAAGAAATGCAAGTGTAGATTCCTTTTTTCTCATTAACGGACCCAGGGAATAACTTGGACTCAAGATTATTAAAGGTCTAAACTTCTGGAAGACTAGTCTTTTTTCTTCTAGACTTTGCTTTAATGTATGTATATACAGGAGTGGGCAAAAGTAGGTTTACAGTTGTGAGTACACAGAAATTTATTCTTGATTTTTCTATTCATTGGCATTATTATAACGATTTATTACTTATGATGTATCTTTTAGGTAATGATGGCTGGTAATTTAACCTATTTTTGCCCACCCCTGTATGTATGAGTGTATATATTATGTACAAATGTACTTGTGCTAACAATGTTCTTCAGAAGTACAAATGACAGCTCAATCACCATTGTTCTGAAAGGACTTTGGGTAGAAAGCATGCCAGAAGCCAACCTTTTGTGATGTGTTGCAATTAGAGGATCTAGTAACTTAATACTTTAGATCCAGAGAGGTAGTTTTACTGTACTCTGCATTGATCAGGGCAATGATTTACACATTCTAAGACAGTCATTGAACATGGGGTGGGTATCCAAAGGAGGGAACCAGAATAGAGGTCTGTAAATATACACCTATCTATCCATTTTTAAAATCATGCACTACATGCTGGGCACTGCTCACAAAAGAAGTCTCTGCCCTCATAGGGTTTATGTTCTAATAGGGGGGAGGGCACAGGCAGACACACCAAGAAATATTACATACAGTATACATGAAGTAGACACAAATACTGTATACTATTTACAATGGAGGAAAACTAAAGCAGGGGGAGGACAGTTGAGGGTGGTGGTATTTTAGAGGGCCTAGGGCAGTGGTTGGCAAACTGCAGCTCTCGAGCCACATGCGGCTCTTTGGCCCCTTGAGTGTGGCTCTTCCACAAAATACCGCCTGCGGGTGTGCACATACAGTGCGATTGAAACTTCGTGGCCCATGCGCAGAAGGTCGGTATTTTGTGGAAGAGCCACACTCAAGGGGGCCAAAGAGCCAACATGTGGCTCACGAGCTGCGGTTTGCCGACCACTGGCCTAGGGGAAACACTTTTTTTTTTTTTATAAAGATCTCGCCACATTTATTTACTGAACCAACCTACTATTTTAGGGGTAGAAAAATCAACAGAGCAGATTCCAAGTTCATTAATCTTCCAATTAAAATGCCCCAACTGTCCAGACAGTAGCATCTTTTCAATCATTTAAGGGTGTAGGCAACCTGGATACAGCATAAATATGTGAGTCATCTCTCATGTGTGATTTCTCATAGGCCCAGTTTGGTTCTTCTCCAATGTCTCTTCGAGCTGTACTTGATTTTATTACCAGTTTTCATCCAAATCCATTGAGGAATGGGCCGATTCTGCTTTTGTTTCTTGGCCAGGAACCTCTTGATCCTGAAAGTCTTGTGGGAAGACATGGTGAAGGAGAAGCGAATGCGCGCACCTTGATGGCGGAGAGAGAGAAGGAAGTGGGAAGGACATATTTAGTGGCATTGACGGGGTGGGGAGGGGAACACTCTTGATGAGGATATTGGATCAGGGACTGAAAGATGTGAGACATAGTTTTCTGAGGGAAGTTTCCAAGTAGAGGAGACAGAAGTGCAAAAGCCCTAGGATGGGAGCAAGCTTAGTTTTTGAATAACACAGATGAACATGGATATGCATGGCAGGGTTTGCAAGTGGGGACTCATCACAGAAGACCTTGTTAGGTCTTCAGCTTTTGCTGATATGGGAGGCCATCTCATCATGCAGACATTGTATCATCTCACATCACAAGAAGGGTGAGAACTGTATTTTGAGATACCATTCACATATTTCATTACATCATATTGTTATAATTGTTCTATTTTATTATTGTTAAATCTTACTGTATCTAATTTATATGTATGGGTATATCTATGTATGGGAAACTTTATTGTAAGTATGTATGTATAGGAAAAAACAATACCTATAGGGTTCAGTTCTATCCAGGGTTTTAGGAATCTACTGGAGGTCAGGGGTAAGGTGGGGACTACTCTACACAAATTTCCTTTATTATTGTTTTTCAAAGTTAAATTATACTTTGAAAGCCACACTTCATTCACTTAATATATAATGAATTACTGATTAGGTATGTGTAAGGCTAAGCACTAAGTATTATGTGTGTGGGTACCAAATAAAAACCCCAAAATCCTATTTTTAGGGACATTACAATCATGAAAGGGTATTGGACACAATATTTATAAGGTAGTATGCAGCAGTGCTGTAATAGTGGTAGTTCACTGTAACTGTTCTTACAAGACAGAGCATCTCCCCCTTGACTGATTCAGACAAGCTTTAAGGAAGCGTTAAAATATAATTAGGCAGAGGCAGGATATGACAGGGGGAAGGTCAGTGCACTTCCATAACTGAATTATATGAGCAGATTTAACCAAGTTAACTGCCACGCATCAAAATGGAAACCATCCCCACATGCCATGATATTCTTAATTTTAAAAATCAATTTGCAATGATTATAAAAATATATTACTCACAATTTGGGTGTTCTTTAATATTTTCAGCTGAAAATTCTCATGAAAAAGGATTTTAAAGTTGGTCAGGGCTGCCACTTAGGGAAAACATTTTTTTATAGACGCGAGTGGCTTGTGGGGAAGGTCCAACACTTGTGTCTACAGATGCTTATGGCATACGATGGGTTAAGAAGCAGAAAAAACAAGCACATTCAGAGAATAGTGAGTAATCCAGTGTGGGTTGAATACTGATGTAGAGAAATAGTACTTGTAGGACTAAACGTGCTGTACTGCTTTCTGAATACTTTTCCTCCCATTATGTGGTCTGTAGCTGACTTACTTGTTGCCAGAAGCTTACCCAGTATAATTCTTGAAAAATGAAGCTATATGAAAGGTGACTGTCATACCCCTTCCCTTGAACAATGCACTTCCCCACTTTGGGTTATACACAACTAAACTGCTATATAATCGAAAGCATAGTCTGCACTTTTCAGTTTTTTAACCTGCTTAGAGAAGATATTTAAGGTCCCTTCAGGGTTAAAACTTCTAGAAATTCAGATTCCAGGAAGTATCCAATCTTTTTAAAAAAATATATTTTTATTGATTTCAGAGAGGGAGAGGGAGTGAAACAGCAATGACGAGAGAGAATTATTGATCGGCTAACTCCCTGCACGCACCACACTGGGGATGAAGCCTGCAACCCAGGCATGTGCCCTGATCAGGAATCAAACTGAGACCTCCTGGTTCAACCACTAAGCCACACCAGCTGGTCAGGTATCCAATCTTATTTTGATTACAGATATTCTTAGCTTAATTTATACCCTATATATGAGGAACTCATTATGAAGTTCTTGGTGTAGATACCTTCTAAGATGGAAGCACAATATTCTAATAATTACATGCCCTCTGTATGTTGTGGGTCATCTTTGCACAGTAAGATAAAGCATGACATTACTGACAATGATTTTCTCATGAACATAAAAAACAAAATATAACCCTCTCCCCACACCAAGTTTAATTACAGTTAACAGTTTAAACCAGACATCTGCAAAAAGATTTGTGAATTGTGTATAAGGTGCCCATCACCCAGCAACTTAGGGGATCCAGGCTTACAAGTAAGTGTTGCAAAGTTAGCACAGAATAATTATTTGGCTAAGGATTAAGAGATAATAGTGTAAAAGAGATAACAGTGTAAATATGGTTTGTAATAGTGTAAAACCCTGTACTATATCTTCAAGGTTATTAGGAAAAAACCCCCACAAGGTATATACATATTTAGCTAACCTTAGATTTAATTAATTAGTAAGTTCTTTAGATCAAAAAGGAACAATTAAATTGATGTCACAAACTCAAACTCAAATAGCTTTGATTATTGAAGTAGTAAATATCCCATCACTTAAAACCTTAGTGGCAAATATTAAGTTAAACACATTTTTGCTATTTGTTAAATATATATGTATATAAATATTCACATCCTTCAGTAACTATTAATGGAGGAAGCTACAGAACAGATCCACATCCAACCTATTTGACTTGAAAATGATAGTATACTTTCCAGCTCCCAACATATATATAAATTTCTTACCTAATCTTACAAGATAAATTTGCACAATTCAACCTGTACTATTCCAGTGCTAACTACTAGCTGTATTAATTTATTACACCAGAACATTGGCATAAGGGGACTTAAGAATTTATTCTTGGACAGAAAATAAGAACTGAACAGCAATTTCATCACTATAAATGGAATTCTTCCTTAGCACCCCCTAATGCTAATGTATGGCAGATCATTAATCATAAAGAACATTACTTTTGAAAACAAACACTTAAGAGAATTCTTGTACATACTTTAGATTCTGTTTGGACATTCCATTCAATTTATTGGAATGCTTTTTTAATGCTGCATTACAAATATAATACAGAATTTTTAAAAAGTTAAATCTCACCTCAAGCAATTACCAGTCTAATGGCATTAGAAAAAAAGGTACTTTTAGTCATGGCATGAAATACATGTAAAACTAAGGCTTTTGTTCAGTTTTTCTTTGAGCATTTTCAAGTTGAAAAATACATTATAAAAACTCAAAGATGTTGCCATGTTTACTTGAGTGCTTTTGACACTGTAAAAGAGACAGAAGACCATCATAGCTATAAACATTGGGACTCCAGAATCATCAAATGTTAGGACTAAAATAGGTGTATAATTCATTTGTCTAAAATTTTTTTCACAATAAAACAATTAAATCTAAACCTTGCATATTCTCTAAAGCAGTCTTCCAGTGTGTCAACATACATGCTCTCTTGGCTAGGTATTTGCTAGAAACAGTTTTCTCCTCCATTATCATCTGGCAAAGATGTAAAACCAAACTGCTTATTTCTGCCATCTGGGCTGCCCTCTACTGGACTATGTAAGGTATAAAGCCAGCAGGTCAATGAGATTTTTTCATAATACTGTAGATATAAATATATACAAGAAAAAGTATATCCCATACCTCAAACTGAACTTCCCAGGAGCAGCACAAAAATAATCTTTTAGTAAACTAAACTGACTTTTACAGTGCTAATTCTACAAGTAAACAATTTCAGTCATTTTAAGAACTGATAAAGAGGTTTTGTTGATTTGTTGATGGCAGCCGTTCTGACAGGTGTGAGGTGGTATCTGTTGTATTAATTTGCATCTCTGATGATTAAGGACATTGAGCATTTTTTCATATGTCTCTTGGCCATCAGTATGTCCACTCTGGAGAAGTGTCTATTTAGGTCCTTTGCCCATTTTTTAATTGGTTTGTCTTCCTTTTGTTAAGTTGTACAAGTTCCTTATATATGTTAACCCATCAGATGTATCATTGCCAAATTTATTCTCCTATAGTGGGCTCCATTTTCATTTTGTTGATGGTTCCTTTTGCTGTGCAGAAGCTTATTTTGATGTAGTTCCATTTGTTTATTTTCTCCTTTGTTTCCCCTGCCCTAGGAGATGTATCAGCAAACATATTGCTACCGGAGATGTCTGAGATTTTGCAGTCTGTGGTCTCTTCTAGAATTTTTATGGTTTCAAGACTTACATTTAAGTCTTTTAACCATTTTTTTTGAGTTTGTTCTTGTGTATGGTGTAAGTTGGTAGTCTAATTTCATTTTTTCGCATGTACCTAACTTTCCGAACACCACTTATTGAACAGACTGTCTTGACTCTACTATATGCTCTTGCCTCCTTTGTCAACAAATGACAAGTGCTGGTGAGGATGTAGAGAAAAGGGAACCCTAGTACACTGCTGGTGGGAATGAAGATTGGTGCAGTCATTATGGAAAACAGTATGGAATTTCCTCAAAAATTAAATATGGAACTGCCATTTGACCCAGTAATCCCACTTCTAGGAATATACTCTAAGAAACCTAAAAACCCAATCAGAAAGAATATATGCACCCCTATGTTCATAGCACCGCAATTTACAATAGCTAAGATCTGGAAACAGCCCAAGTGCCCATCAGTAGATGAGTGGATAAAAAAAGCTGTGGTACATTTATACCATGAAATACTATATAGCAGTAAAAAAGAAGGATCTCTTACCCTTTGACACACCATGGAGGGACCTGGAGAGTATTATGCTAAGCAAAATAAGTCAGTCAGAGACAGACAAGTATCACATGATCTCATTCATATGTGGAATCTAGAGAACAACATAAATTGGTGAACAAAATAGCTCCAGAGACATAGAAGCATGGAACTAACAGTCAAATCTCAGAGGGACGGTGGGGTGGGTAGAAAGGGATTAACCAAAGAACTTATATGCATAACCCATGGACACAGACAATAGTGTGGTGAAGACCTGTGCAGCCAAAAAGGGGTCAATGGGGGAAAAAAGGGGACATCTGTAATACTTTCAACAATAAAGATAAATTAAACAAACACAACAAATAAATAAGAGGCTTTATACAATCTTAGTCTCCTTTTCAATATCCTGGAGGCATATCTGGAGCAATAGTTGTAGTACTGTATATACTCTAATGTCAATCTTTCACGATGATTCCTGTATTAATGCAAATCACATTTTTGTGGGTCAACTCTATGGATTTTTTACATGCATAAACATGGGTCTTAGCAGATAACATGCTGAGATCATATCCACAAGTATCTTGCCATAAGTATCAAACTTTTCAGAGCTGTGTCCTTTGTGAAGATTCATTTTTAGTTATCAAGATCTTTTTCTCTGTTGTTCATCCCCATGCCTGAGATTTGCAGTAATGTAGGACCAGTTTACCATCACTGCCAAAACACTACAAAAAGAAAATAACAGCAACAAACTTAATTCTTCGATGAAAGAAAAAATGTTATACGTATCATAAATATCCTTATACATGTAGGTGTAAATTATCTACAGTTATTTCTTTCAAAAGATGCAAGTTGCTATTTTAACACATCAGTAATCATCCTATGTAATAAAGAGGTAATATGCAAATTGACCATCACACCCTCACACAAGGGGCCAGGCCAGCAGGGGAGGGCAGTTGGGGGTGACCAGGCCTGCAGGGGAGGGCAGTTGGGGGGGGGTCTAGGCCTGCAGGGGAGGGCAGTTGGAGGCGATCGGGCCAGCAGGGGAGCTGTTAGGGGCGATCAGGCTGGCAGGCAGGTGAGCGGTTGGGAGCCAGCAGTCTCGTATTGTGAGAGGAATGTCCCAGATTGGAGAGGGTGCAGGCTGGGCTGAGGGACACCGCCCACCAGTGCACAAATTTCATGCACTGAGCCTCTAGTAATCTATATATATGAGCTTAAGTGACCGTTACACTGTTTGCCTGGTAGCTATGACACTCTGACCAGTAGAGGAGGGAGCCTCACGGGATCGGCCGTGGGTTAGAGATTGTAGATGGGGCACTGTCAGCCCTGATTCTGCTTCACCTGTACCTTGGACCCAGAGAGGAGGGAGCCCAATTCCTCACGGAATCAGCCATGGGTTAGGTTGCCACTGGGCACTGTTGGCCCTGAATCTGCTTCACCCGCACCCTGGACCCAGAGAGAAGGGAGCTTGATTCTGGGGTGCATTACCTGAGAATTGCCCACTCATAATCCGGGACACCTTGGGGGATGTCAGAGAGCTGGTTTCAGCTTGATCCCTGCAGGCCAGGCCGAGGACCCCACCGGTGCAGAATCTGTGCACCAGGCCTCTAGTGTTGAATAAAACCTGTCCTTTAAACATCATAGGCATGGATGGGCTTACATATTTTAATCTTGCCCTTTCTCTGTATCTCTTAACTGTAATGTATATACTGTTTTCTACTAGCGGTGCTAATGTGTATACTATAATAATTTTTGTCATGAAACTGTTAGTATGTTGAATACAGTCATTTTTATGTAGACTTCTTTTAAATTTCTTGGAAGCAAATCTGGATTACTAATTATATAAACAATGTAAAAGAAACAAATTAGGCAAAAAAGAAGGCCTTATTTTCTGGACATCTTCTGTTTGTATTATTCATTCGAATTCATCTTCTGTTTGTATTATTCATTCCTTAATTCTTAAGAGATATAACAGAAAACAAGAAAGTAATCTTTTTTCCTGAGAGGCAATTAAGAATAGCATCTCTTAAAATAATGATGCTGAGAGGCAATTAATAGCATCTCTTAAAATAATGATGTTAATTAATAATACTATTCACAGATGTGCATCTTTTATTAAAAAAATAAAGCAGTTATGTTTTACCTCATAGAGGGTTCCAACTTCCTGGTCAGGGGAAGGGGCAAATGACTGATTCACATAAATAAACTGCTGATTAATTTGCATTTTTCTGGGGTTCAATCAGCCAGCTCTTTCAAATTCTTTGTCTTCAGAATTGAAAGAAATTTCCTTACACTCCTTTTCCTACTTCTCATAAATCAGTCAACTAATGAGATCTTTATGAAGATTAGTTCCTACCTGGAGGAATAAAACCAGATTTTTTGCTTCTAGAGCAGTAGTTCCTACTTATTAAAACTAATAACTTTTAAATGTTTTTACAAATAGCTTTTGAAGATTTATTCAAGAAATTATTAAAAGTATTACTTTTTCCAACTACTCATTTTAAAGACAGAATTTTTCCTAACAAAATTTCATACACAGTATAAAATCAGGAAATCTTTGAGATAGTGTGAGCATTTTTGGTTAATAACATACAGTTGGATTAATAACATACAGGAAATCTTTGAGATAGTGTGAGCATTTTTGGTTAATAACATACAGTTGGATTTTTTTTACCTTTACCACCACTGAAAACTCATAAAAGTACTGAACTCCAGGCTGGATGCCACTACTGTAAAGTCACTTGTAGCTAAATAAGATGGTAACATAATGAAACCTAATGTTCTTATAACCTTGTTCTTTAAAGGATTCATTGTTCAATGTTCCAGTTTAGTCTGTTTTCATTAAAACTCTCTAATACATGTATCCTCTGCTTTTTGAAAGTTCATGTTATGAATGACCTACATTAGTACCTGTTTTAACTGAGAAATCCTAAGAGGATTTTCACTTTTATGAAGAAAGCAAAAATAACGTTCAGCATGTTTTGCAGTGAGCCATTATAGAAACGGTGAGATTAGCCCTGCCGCCAATCTCTTTCACTGAGAACTACACTCTGCATCTTGGCATTAAGCCACCATAGCTTTGGACTGTGTCTGTAAGCATCTGTGCTTTATCTCAATTTTATACATCTGTTAGCAAGATGTGACCTAAAATATCAGAATGCCTAAAAGAGCTCATAAGGGTGTTATGCTTAGCATAAAACTGGATATAATTAAGTGTATTATGGTTTGGTGGGTTATTTGAGGGGATCTTGGTATGCACAAAATTTTTTCACATAAATTAATCGTAATTACTTTTTTGTTTTATGCCATTTTGGCTTTGAAAAGATTTCATAGGAATGTTCTTCTTTTATATAGTGGAGGAAACCTGTACTTAAAAAAATTACTGCAGATACAAAAGGACAGTGTCTTAGTAACTTTTGATAATTTTCCTTTTAGAAAATAAAACATTATTTGCAGGTAACATATCAATTTACCTTTGTCTATAGTCAAATTCTAAGACTAAAATTTCCTGGACTTAATATAGCCTTTAAAACTCAATAATATCAGAATAGTTGGTTGATCCTTTGTCTATAGTCAAATTCTAAGACTAAAGTTTCCTGGACTTAATATATAATATAGCCTTTAAAACCCAATATCAGAATAAACAGCTGGTTGATAGACACTATTTGGGTCACCAACTGTAATAAAAACAAATAATGACTACATTTCTCCCTTAGGTGATTCAGTGTGGTAATTAAAAACAGAGGCTCTACTGAGACAGATCCAGGTTTGAGTTCTGGCTCTAAACACAAATACCTTTTCTCAGCTGGTTTCCTTATTTATAATATGGAAAATAATAGCACCTATACTTCTTGGAGCTGCTGGGAAACATAAAATGAGATAGCACCAGTGCCTGGTATATGTATACTCAATATACATTAGTTTTAATTATTATTTAAAAAGTTCATGTATAAATATCAATTAATGGTTAAGGCTGAGTAATACTCTTAACAAAAACTTCATAAAGTTAGAAATCAGTGTGCATTTAAATGTGAATTTCTATAATCTATATACTGGTATATAAAAGCCTAAGTGACCAAACAACCAAACAACTGGTCGCTATGACATGCACTGACCACCAGGGAGCAGACACTCAATGTAGGAGCTGCCCCCTGATGGTCAGTGTGCTCCCACAGTCAATCTTCCCTGCCCCCTCCCTCCCCCCTGCCCCCTGGCCGGCCAGCCAACCTCCTGCGGCCCCTCCTCCCCGGCCAGCCAACCTCATGAGGCCCTCTTTCCCCGGCCAACCTTCCGGCCCTGATTGCAGGCCAGGCCGAGGGACCCCGCCTGTGCATGAATTCGTGCACTAGGCCTCTAGAACATATATAAGAATCTGTCTTTAGGTCCTAGCAGTTTAACTGTGAATGAACATAGTTTATTCTTCTGGTACATTTTAAATGAGAAGGGCTCTTGATGACAGTTTTTAGTTCAGCAAACATTCACTATCTATTATGTGGTAGGAATTTCCCAAGGTGTGGAACTGTGAAGATTAATATGACTCCCATTAATGAGTTTTCAATCTACTGGAGAGGCAGACATATGCAGATAAGACTATAGATGAAAAAAGTGCATCTGACAAGGTGTGTAGTACACAACAGATGTGGCATTAATTTAACCTAGCAAAAACATCAGGGAAAGCCTTCTCTAAGAGATAATAAATAGGATTTAACTAGGTGGAAGAATAATTAGGACTTTGTAGGCAAAAGTAAGATGGTTTTAGTGTTAAGGGGACAGTAGAGTAAATGGAGCAGAACTATAAGAACTCATTACAATTTATAACAGGAGTCAGGAACTGAAAGTGACTATAATTAAAAAAAAAAAAAGCAATTCAGCTAGTTTAAAATTCCATGGAAGTAACAATTTCAAAATGTAATCTTGCTAATAAATGCTAGAACTTGGGTAGATAAAGTTATTTTAGTTTTAAAGAATAATGATTTTCTTTTTAATCCTCACCAAGGATACTTTTACCATTGGTTTTTAGAGAGTGGAAAAGGGTGGGGGAGAAACATCGATGTGAGAGAGACACATTGATTGGTTGCCTCCTGCACTGTCCCAGGGATTGAAACCTGCAACCTAGGTATATGGCCTTGACTGTAAATCAAACCTGACATCCTTTGGTCCATGGGCTGAAGCTCTAACCGCTGAGCAAACTCTATCTAGGCAAGGTCTTCTGCTCCTGAGGTTTTAGCTCCAATATGCATGTGAATGACACTATAATCTTCTTGCCCATCTCTGACAATTAAATTCTATATGGCACTGTAATAACACAGATGCTTTTCTCACTCTGATTACAGAGGAAGATGTTCAGCTGCAAAACTCAAATATTTCCACACTTTTTCTAAACATCTTCCTTTGGAGGAATCCCAGGCTCTATGCTATTCTTCCTCAAATTACTTCTAGTGATTGATCTATCTTATACTTACTCTTGCAACTATGTTCATTTTGTGAGAGGTACTTAAAGCCAAACTACTAGATCAGTATTAATATTGGCCAAGATGTGATCTGCCAATAAAGGTGTCTGCTATATTAATTAAAATGTTACAATATTCCAAATACAAGTAGACATTTAAATTTCTGTAGCTGAATGCCAAGTTAAAAACCAGTGGCATTTAAAATATTAATCTTTCCAACTGCTACCATGAAGTGTTTAACATGTACTAATATGAAATAAGAATATCTCTTAGTTCTTCCATAACATATGGCAAGGACATATTGCTTACCTTAATAGAACACAAAGGAAACAACACTAATATCAAAACAAATTATAAAACCTAAATATTTCTGTATGTTCCCTGATAGATCTTGATCTTTCTGCGTGGGCATTCAGTGACTTTTTTGAGAAAAACCACCTCAGTGGTAAAAAAAATCAGTTCACATTGTAAATGTAAATATAAAATTCATTTCACTTCAGAGTTCCCCAGAGAATCCTTCAATAAAGTACATAAATCCCACCAACAAAAGAAATAAAAGAACATTACTGAAGTAAAAATATATGGCTCCATATGTATTTCTATATACAACAGTTATTCATTATTGCCTAGTAACCATTATAGATAATTGAGGGAAATAGCCAGCACTGGTTTCATACCAACTGTTCTGAAGCCACAAGTTTAAGGAACTTTTTGATGAAGTCAATGAGTCCTTGGATGGTTCGGGTTCGCTCTACAGCCCACTTCTTTGTTTTCATTATAGGGGTGTCTCCCACAGCCTTTAGCAGGATATCAACTATAAAAGGAAAAAAAAATTAACAATTACACTACAACATATAATGACTTTAGAAAAGTTAAACCTTTAATCTACACATAGTACATATATTGAAGATACTGGAGGTATGTCTAAGATATACAAATGTTAGGTTTTAAGATTCTTTTTCGTCATTTTTCTCCCCCCCTTGATTCTACAGTCTCAGAAAGGACTCTCCATGAAATGTAATTTTAAATTTCATTTTAATAATAATAAAATAGAAATGGTCAATAAATATGTAAAAATATATAAAATGTCGCCAGGCTGGTGTAGCTCAGTGATTGAGCGTCAACCCATGCACCAAGAGATCACTGGTTCAATTCCTGGTCAGGGCACATGCCTGGATTGCGGGCTCGATCCCCAATGGGGAGTGTGCAAGAAACAGTCGATGGATGTTGATATTTCTCTTTCATTGATGTTTCTATCTCTCTCCCTCTCCCTTCTTCTCTCTCTAAAACCAATAAAAATGTATTTTATGTATATATTTATGTATACACACACACACACATAATGTCATGGCTTTTTACAACCAACCAAATTAGCAAAAATTAGAATAATACTGTAGATGACACTACTGTTGGGAATAAAAAAATGGCACACCCTTTCTGGAGAATGATATGGTAATACATTACCAAATACTTAAGATATGCTTTGATCCAATAATCCTAATATATATAAAGAGCTAGGTGCCGTCACGACCGAACAGGCAACCAGTCACCATGAAGGGCATGGAGCACCTCTTGGTCCTCCCCCCGACCCTGAGCCCCTCACCATGAAGGGGGGGCTGGCGGCGGGGCGGGACTGGGGACTGTTGAGTTGCGGTGGCGGGCTGCTTCTCGGGGTGGCCGTGAGCTTAGAGGAGCAGTCACCTGGGCGGCAGCGAGTTTCGCGGAGCATCCAGTGGTGAGCTTCGCAGGGAGGCAGCAAGCTTCATGGAGCAGTCGAGGGGTGGGGGGGGGTGGGAAGCCTTCGCAGAGGGCGCGAGCATCGCAGAGTGCCCTGGGGCGGGGAGCTTCACGTACATTGCAGGGCGGCAGAGGCCATGCGACTGAGGCCAGGCTAGGCCCTAGGGACCCTAACCGGGCACGATTTCGTGCACGCTGGGTCTCTAGTACTAATAATAATAGTACTAGGAATCTAGTCTCATAAAATATGAGATGTAAAAAGATTCACTTAGGATTTCACCTTTGTTGAAACATTTATTTTTATAGAAAAAAACCCCAAACACCTGGCAAATCTAAATATTCAACAATGGTATTTAGAGGGGATTGGTTGAAAAATGATATTATAGTCTATAATAGAATTTACATAATTCCATAAAGAGTACACACTCTGAAGTCCCTGGGTTCCAAATCCTGGCTCTGCTACTTGCTATGTATATATTTCTGGATAAATTCTTTAATGTTTCTGTGCTACAGTTTTTCCTTTTATAAAATGAAGACAATAGTATCTACCTCATAAGGTTGTTTTGAGGATTAAATAAGTTAATACATGTAAAGCGTTTAGAACAGTATCAGCTCATAACTCATACTTTTTGAACCTTAAGATTATAAGTTGCCATTAAAGAAAACATGCTATAAAAGCATATTTAACAGCATGAAAAAGTTATCAAAATGTACTAATATAAAACAGCATGTATAATAAGACCTCAATTTCATTAAGAGAAACATCGATCAGCTGCCTCTTGCACACCCCCTCCTGGGGATGTGCCCGCAACCAAGGTACATGCCCTTGACCGGAATCGAACCTGGGACCCTTCAGTCTGCAGGCCAATGCTCTATCCACTGAGCCAAACCGGTTAGGGCATAAAAGCATATTTAACAGCATGAAAAAGTTATCAAAATGTACTAATATAAAACAGCATGTATAATAAGACCTCAATTTCATTAAAACCATCACAAACACATATTCATGTAAATGTGGAATGTGCACCAAAATGCTATTTCTCAGTAGTGACATTACAGGTGATTAATATTTGGTTTTACTGGTACTTTTTGTAACCACCAAGTTTTCTATAATAACATTTCTAATAAAGAAACATAATAATTATTGGAGAAAAAACAACTAGGGGCCAAAAAGTTTCAATTAGAGAAATTAAAGGTTTCAATAATCCAAAATACAAACACAACCTATGAATCTGCCTCCTGAAGTTACTATACTTAAAAGGATGTGTGTGAACACACAATACAATATACAGATGTAGTATAGAAATGTACACATGATACCTGTATTATTTTATTAACCAATGTCACCCCAATACACTCAATAAAAAGGGGAAAAAAAGACGTCTCTCTCAATCAAAAGCAACACTGAAAGCAAAATAGTGTACTGCTGCCCCCTAAAGTTAATTCTAGTATATTACATCTCTCTTGTCCCAGTCTTTGGTGTTAAAAATTGGGATCCAATGGAGTCAGAGGTTAATTTATTCAAGTTTACCCTGGGAATAAAGGCACCTGGAACACATAATGCACACTGTATTCTTCTTGAAAAAGTTTACCTTCCTTTCTCCACTAAAACTCTAGCTTCAGTTATCCAGGAAACAGAGATGAATTGAAAGATAAATGAGGGGATTTTGAGTAACTCACCTTCTATGCCCCCTTCAATCTCCTGAGGCTATCAATAACTCAGTTGCAACTGAGCATTTCAAGAAAGTGAAGGAGAAAATATTATGAGCTGTACTACTGCAGGAAAAAAACTGGAAGGGATAGGAGCTACAGGACACATTTATTTAAATTGTAACTACTTTTTCTTTTAATTTCTAAAGGTGATTTGCTTTACAGTTCTCAATCCTAGCTATGCATTAGGAGCAACTGGGGGAACAAATTTAATTTACAAGAATACAGAATTTTTGGAAGTAGGGTCTTGGCACAGGTATGTTCTAAAGCTCCCTGTGGTGGTCCTAATGTGAGGCCAGGACCAACAACCTCGGTTTGCTGCAACAATCTTTGTTCTTCTGTAGATTAAACCAGAAGTGAAGCATATGTAACAGCTAAGCTTCTTTCATCAGAAGAGGTCCTCAAAAAAGGATGACAATGTCAGGGTAGAAATCCAATAGCTAGAAACTAAGTTTTATACCATCAGAGAGGCAAACTCAAATGCTCATGGGAGCCAGAAAAAGAACCAATTTTTAAATGACGGCTTAAAATATATATATATTTTGGAACCAAGAGACCATGCCATATAACCCCAGGCTGTATCCCTGTTGCAGGTCATTCATCTTTAGCCCCTGTTTTTGCAAAGCTATCTTCAGGGAGTAGTAGTACACTTTTGACTAAGACTGTTAGAGCTTAAAACAAGCCCTTTGAAAGTCTGTTCCTGCTTACAATAAAAATGGAAGAAACAAGGAACAAAACTCGGTAAAACTCATGGAATTCTTCTCAACAAAGATTCTAGTGGTTATCTATAAAAATAATCAAAGGTTTGTTTCTCCAGCAGTGCATCATGTGGGGACAACAGATTCCCCCCAAATGGAGAAGCCGTCTAACCTGGGCGGGGAACAGCGCTGGAGGAAACAACTACCTCCCGCGGCAGAAGAAAATGACGTCCGATGCCAGGCTGTGAGGTCACTGAGCAGAACACCTGCCAATACCTGGGCTAAGCCTCTGGACTGGCAAAACGTGTCTGAGGCCCCGGGTCCACCTTTCTGAATTATAGGTGCCGACTTGAAGCTTTTCTCATAAGCAACTCTACACAGAGTGCTGCTCCAGGGCAAGTAAACTTAGGAATGTCTGGATTTTACCATGGCAACGAATTCTCAAGCGATGACAGGGTAGATGACAGCGAGTTCACACAATGACGATTCACAAAGGTTCCAAAATGGTTTGTGTGTGTGTGTGTGTTTGTTTCGTTTTGTTTTAGAAAGGCGATGCCTGTGCCTTTAGTTTTCCTTTAACATTCTTCATTTTGGGTAAAATTTCAGTTTTTTGGTTCAAGAAGTGAATTCACACGCAATTGGTATTTTAAACAAAACAAACCCCTGCGAACTAACTAGCTGGAAAGCGTGAACTAGCCCTATCATCTTCAATCATTATTCTACTTAGCTACCGGGCTAAGTACCTGGAGCTCCCGAGATCCCCCTCCGCTCCCACCTTGAGAAAGTCTGACACCTTGAGAAAGTCTGAGGTCAGGCCAAGCGTCCAGCAGCGGCCTCTGGCAAGGCCCTCCACAGGCAGGCCTTCAAAGCCGAGACGCACACGTCCCTTCCTAACCGTCACAAACCACGCCGGGCACCGGCCTTCCTCTAAATGTGGCTTCTTCATTGGCCGCCATCCCCAGTGGGAAGCGACCTACACCTCCCGCCTCTGCCCAGAAACCACTCTCCAAATTACTTTTTTTCTTGGTGTCGCCGGCAGGTTCCTCCGTTCCCGGGGAGACTGCGGCGGAAGAAGGGGGCTCCGGCGTGGCTGTTCCTGGGGAGACGTCCGTAGGCCCTTCGCCGTCCGCCGCACCCGAAGGAGGGACCGGGAGCACGGCCTCCGGCTCCTCAGCCATCTCGTGCGGGGGGAGGCGAGAGAGGAAGTGGGGGGCTCAGCGTGCAGTGGGCGGGCTTTGCGCCAGGAAGTCGTCAGGCTGGCGACGGCGAAAGGGGACCCAACTCTACAGTGAGAGCTGGGATTGCCGGCTACCTTCTATGTCGAGCCTGTCGTAGAGCCCGGACCATTAATACCGCGACTGCTGTTTTCCCACAGCAGCGCGCCTCGGGCAGGGGACGGCGGTCGGCGTCGCCACAGACCTGGGAGCGCGCAGGAGCCCCTCTGGCCAGTGGGCGTGGCCTGGAGTGTTTCCGCTTCCCTCGGCGCCAGCCCCGCCCAGGCCCCGCCCCTCCCCACCCGGGGCCCGCCCCGCGGCTCGGGGGCGCGCGCGCGTGCGGGAGGGGGCGGGTTGGAAAGGATCGCCGGCGAGATCCCGAGGCGAGGCTCGCGCGCCCGCCCCCGCCCTGGCCCCCAGCGCCCACCCGGTCCGCCCGGCTCAGCCATGATCAAGGCGATCCTCATCTTCAACAACCACGGGAAGCCGCGGCTCTCCAAGTTCTACCAGCCGTACGTGAGTATCCCGCCGCCGCCGATGCGGGCGAGGGGGAGTCGTGGGCTGCAGGCAGCGCCCTCAGGGCGACTCCCTCCGGCACGCGCGGCCCTTCTCGCGCCCCGGCTGCCTCCAGCTCCCGGGTGGTCAGCCTCCCTCCCGGTGGGTGTGAGCGGGTGCCCACCTCCCGCCGCGCTCGCATCCTCCGACGTGGCTCTGCCTGGGTGGCTCCTCCGCCCGTCTGTTGCCTGAGTGGTTCCCGGCGGCGCGGGCGAGGCCCGGGAGACGTCCCGGCGCGGGCCCTCGCGGGTCCGGGCTGCAGCCCACCTGCGCTCGCGAGCCCACCTGCTCGCCTGTCTCCCTGACACCCGTGCCCGCCTGCGAGGAAGACGGCGGAGCTCGCTGGTCTCGCAGCCCCACCTCCCTGACTCCCAGCCTTTCCTGGGGGACTGCTTTCTCCTCCGTGGACAGACGGGCTGGGGCTTTCCTCTCACCCTCTCATCGCGCAGAACTTCGGCTTCCTGCGCGCTGGGAACCGCACGCTTTGGGCAGTGTCTCTCTCTCCTCTATGTGGTGATACGTGGTCCACTGCCCAGTTTGACTTCCACGTGTCTCTTTGTTAAAGAAAAAAAGATAAGTGAGGAACTAACACTTTCATCGGGCTCTTCTCTTAGTGGCTGTAAATTGCTTAATTATTATTTAAATTAATTATTATTGACGTTTGTGGGTGACCGGCCAGACCTGTGATTCTGTACTTGAAAGCTGCTGGTTTGGTGTCTCTCTAATTTGTAAGAGAATTTGTCCTAATTTATAGTTTTTCCTCCACTTATGAAGAAGAGTAATGTTTATAAAAACGCTTTTAGAAGCGTAAATATTGTTTAAAAATGCAGGAGATCTTAAGGTAGGAAAGATACTAGTAAGTAATTTAGTAACGATTGAGGGAGGGTTCAGTGCCTATCTGAGGGCAAAATTCGCTGTTTAGATAAAATACATAAAGTTGGGCTATCATCGGTATGGTTTATGTAAAGATATAAATATTGTGCAGTATTGGGGCTGTTTGCTGATAGCCAGAAATGAACCTTCAATTAAATATTTAAATTGAGCCAAGGCTAACACTTTTATGCAGGTTAGTCCCAGATATAAATCATTCCTGCTATTAAAAATTAAATGTGAAAATGTCACTTTGCCTAAAATGATAATGCAGTCTGTGGAGGTGTTAGTTGATGTGAGAAATCTTGAGCTTATTGCTCATTTCCTTAGTTTTGCTGTTGCTAGCGATAAAGAATATTTTCTACTACTGTGTGGCTTGAGTATAATGCAACTTAATGCTAATGCTTTATTTAAGAATTCTACATCATTCCTTAATCCGGGATAAAATTCTAGTTGATCCTTCTGGGTTTAAAAAACATGCCTTTAACTTTACAGTGTTACCCATTTGCCTAAAATATAGTACTAGTCTTTATTGAAGGAACTTTCTCTTAACCATTTTGCTTGTGCCATTCATTCGCAGTATAAAAAAAGTATGTTCCAGCGATGAAAGAGAATTCAAACATTTGTTTTTCCATGTCTACACTTAGTAATTAAGCAATATTAAAAATAGGTTTCTTGACTAATCCATAATATCAGTGTAACCGTTCTTGCAGTTTATAATTTAACCATCTACAGAAAAATGAATTTCATCTGGAAATGCAGGAATACATCTTTCTCTTGTCTAGCAATGGGAATAGAATATGTTTTACCTTTAACCCAGGAGGTCGCAGTGAAGGTTAATGTGGGAAGAGGAGGTTCTGGCAACAGTGGCAGCTCTGGTGTCATTTTGGCCATTGGGTAAATGACAGTGTTCTTGGGGTCAGGGGCCGAGAGGTGTATAAAGAAGGATCTAGTGGTCACTGGCCATGTAGAAGTAGGGATGCCAGAGCTGTTTTTGTGTATTAGTCTTTTATAAATTGAGTTTTGCCAACTGTATTTTTGTCATTCAGAAAATAATGGGAGGTTATTTATTTGTTTATATACTTGCTTCCTTCACTAGACCATAACGTATTTGAGGGCAGAAATCTTTTTCACCCATTTATTTCAGTCAGTTTGTCAACAAATTTTTATTTTATGCCTACCAAGTGCAGGCAGTGTTTTAAAATCTGAAGATGAACAAACATAACTTCTATTCTTTCTGGGGTTGGGGATACACAAAATTAATAAGTAGTTACAAGTGATGTGGAAAAAATAAAGCAGGGCAGGGTCACAGGGAGTGCAAGGATGATAATTTAAAATAGGATAGGCAGGCCCTGGCCTGTGTAGCTCAGTTGGTTGGGCAGTATTCCCGTGCACCTACAGGTTGCTGGTTCAATTCCTGGGCAGGGCACAAACCCAGGTTTCAGGCTCAATTCCCAGGAGATGGCGTGAGGAGGCAGTCGATCGATGTTATACACTCACATCGATGTTTTTCTCTTCTTCCTTCCTCCCGCTCTAAAAATCCATGAACTATTTAAAAAGAAAAAAAAAATAGGGTAGGCAGGTAAGTTCTCATTGAGAAGGAGACATTTGGGCAAAGACTTGAAAGAGGTAAGAAAGCCCGCTTGCAGATATCTGGGGAAAGATCATTCCAAGCCGAGGAAGCAGGAGATGCAATGGCAATGCCTATTTGAAGCACCTGCCTAAATGTTAAGGAACACCAGGAAACCTGGCATGGCAAGAGCAGAATATGTACCAGTAAGGGAGTAGTTGGAAATGGGTGTATTTGTATAGGGAGTCAGTGTTTATTCTATCCTCACTGCTTGAAATATTCTTTTCTTCCATTGCCAAATGTCTAGATTCAACGCTTTGTTCCAGGCCTAACTCAGATATCACTTAACCATTCCCCGAAGCCTCTTTGTTCTTAGGATTTTACATTATATTTATTACAGTCTAATATTCTGTTTCTCAGCCTAGAATTCCTTTGGGGCATTCTATAGATTCCCTGAGGCAGGTTTTAGATTTATTTGTGTCACCCCCAGCAATCAATAATGAGTCTTGACTATACTAGTAGAGACCTCTCAATAAATCTTTGCTAAATGTCTCCTAGTTTGGGATAGAGTTTGGGTTAAAAGTGACCTCCTAAATTTCCTTCCAGTTCTTAAAATTTCGTCCTCCATTGATGAGAGGCTCTCAAAATCCATGCCTTTACAACAAAAGTAGTGATGGAATAGCTGTTACATCAACTGTGTCTGTTTTAAGTTGAAAGAAATTTCTAACAAGTGCACATCCAATAAGATTGACAGTTTGTGTTTAATTTATTAAGCAATATTTAGGGGTGTGGTGGGTTAACAGTTTCATATCCTGATAGAGTACTGAGATTTGAATTCAGTAATAATGGTTTAACACTGAGCAATTTGAAAAGTGCTTAACAACCCACTTCCCCTACTGCATTGGATTTTCATTCCTCACTTTTCCTCTCATATAACAATTTATATGTTCATCTTTGCCCTTTAATAGTGCAGATTTCCATTTCCTGCTGTAATAAATTTTTAGATTTGATTGTGCCTCCAAGCTGCTATTATGTGTGAGACACATGGAGTCACATGCATATTTGGCTAAACTGAAGTTTTTGGTTCATTCTGCAAGAGTCAGACATTAAGAAGTCAAGGGTAGACTCAGAATAAATTCTCTTTTGTTTTTGCCTTCTATATCCTTAAGCTATGACTGTACAAGTTCAAATGTTTTTAGTCTTTTAATATTTGCCTGGCAATAGTTGTGTGTTACTATAAATGACTAATGAGACTAATATTTCTTAAAGCAGATATATTTTTACATAGCCATCAATCAAGAAAAAACACACCTGTTTATGATTCCTGTGTTTTTAATGAACCATGGTATATCCTTCGGTGAATCACTTTAATAGTAAAAAATGTTTTCCTTTTATATGAATTATCTTAGTTGTTTCCACAGATTTAAAAGATTGTATATGTAACCCTGGCTGGGTGGCTCAGTTGGTTGGAGAGTCATCCAGTACACCAAAAGGTTGTTGGTTCAATTCCCGGTCAGGGCACATACCTAGGTTTCTCGTCTCTCTCTCTCTTTCTTCCTCCCTCCCTGCCTCCCCTTCTCTCTCAAATTAATAAAAACATATCCTTGGGTAAGGATTTAAAAAAAAAGATTGTGTATGTTTGCATATGTATACTCATGATCAAGCTTATATACACATACACAAGTACAAACAGGAAAGTTTTCAAATGGTTACATATACATGTTGCCTCAATTTTCATATAAACTGTATCTGATTATTCAGTTGTTTGGCAACCATATGCAGAAAGGAACTCTAAGATTGTTCTTTTCGTTTTTTGAATTTGTTTACATAACAGATATATAAAGTATTGAAAGTATGTATAACTTTTTCTTTTAAAAAATCTTTAAGAAAGATGCATCCATATTTACTGATGTCTTTTTTAGTGGCTGTTAAGACAATGTTTCAGATGGGATGGTTAAAATTATTTTTATGATCAAGATAGAATTGTCAGCAGTTCTAAGTATTAATTAAGGTGTTAACACATACTATATATTTTTATTATAATTTTTTTTAGTAGAAACAGACTTACAGATACAGAGGGGAAGGGATCGAGCCCGAAACCTGAGCATGTGCCCTGACCTGGAAACAAACCGGCAACCTTTGTCTGACCCAACCAGCTGAGTCACACCGGCCAAGGCAACACATATTATATAAACACATAGTATTTGAGCTGCTTTATTAAGAAGATAATCCCAAGTGATTTGGTTTCTTGTCACATTAGTTAGGATGCTTTTGGATACATAAGTTGAGTTTTATGTAGTCTGACTCAAATTTTGCTTAGAAAGAACTGTTAGTATACATAATAGGAAGTGCAGAGTAAGTAGACAGATTCCACAATTACTTGATTTAGCAAATCAGTGACTTCATTATAGATCCAATTTCTTACTCTATCTTGCTCTTCACAAAGTTGATATCCAAAAGCTGATTTCCTCCTTGAAATCAGTGGTAATCAATTCAGTCCATAAGGAGTGATGGTTCCTGC